TGGGGGGAGGGATTTGAGGGGGCTCAGCTGGGGTTCCCTCCAGACCAGGGAGGGGGAGGGCATCGCCCAGTTCCCCTCCCCACGCGTTGCTCTCCCTGCCCCCCTGGCCTCAGCTACTTGTGGGGAAGATGGGAGGGGCCCCTTTTGGAGGCCGGAGACCCCCGGGCGGGGGGGGCAGCGAATCTGAAGACGCTCCACCACACACACCTGGCAGGTAAAGTGGGCACAGGTGAGGCTGTGGGTCTCTTCTGCCACTCCCCCCCTTCCCCACCTGGGCTGGCTCTTCTCCACCTGGCCCAGCTGGACCTTCCCCTCCCTCTGCTCCCCCTCCCCCCCTTCCCCCACACGAGCAGAGAGGCTGGGATCCTCCAAGAATATTTTATTGAACCGCCAAGCCACCGCTGGGCATCCTTTGGCTCAGCCCAGGGCCGACAGCACCACCGCCAGGGTGGCCGAGCAGAGCCCGGCTGGGGGGGCCCCGGGCCCCCCTCCGCTCTCCAGATCAGCCCAGAGGTCGTCCTGCTTCGGGTGCTGGAGGGGGAGGCTGGCGGGGATCTGGGGCACCCGGAAGGGCCGCCCGTCGTGCGCCGAGGTCTGCTCCAGCCAGGAGTGGAAGTTGGAGACCTGGGTGTAGACGCCGGGGCTGCGGGGGGCGGCGCAGCTGCGGCCCCAACTGACGATGCCCACTTGGTACCAGCGCCGGGGAGTGCCGTGCCCGCTGTGGCTGGGGGGGAGGCACATCAGGGGGCCCCCGCTGTCCCCCTGCAAGGGGCGAGAATGAGGAGGAGGGAGTCGAGGAGGAGGGGCCGGGACGTAACGGGGGGGAGGAGGGGGGGGGGGGCGGGAACCCACCACACACACATCCACAAACATGGGCAAATGAAAGGGGGGTCCCTTTGCCTCCTCAAGGACGCCCCGCAACCCCCGTGGGAGGGGGGGGGAAGCAAGGAGGAACCTGGTGGGGCTGTCCCAGGCCTCACCTGGTCCAGGTGCTGGTTGGGTGTCCTGTGGATCCACCTGGGAAGGAGCCAGTCCAGCTCTCCCCCCCCCCCCCCCAGCCCCCCCCGGCCCCCGCCGCCGGCTGCTGCTCCCCCCCCCCCCCCCCCCCGGGCCCCCGGCGCGGGGGGGGGGGGGGGGGGGGGGGGGGGCAGCCAAGGGGGGCTCCTACCTGGCAGGCATCCCGGCCGCCCTCCTCGTATCCAGCACACACCATGTTCCTGGTGAGGGAATGCAGCCACCGCAGGCACAGATTCCAGTCTACCAGCCCCACCTGGATGTCCAGCATCTCAAGGGAGCCGGTGTCTGAGCCTGGAGGGGGGGG